CGGGAAACCCCCAGGGACAGACCACTTCAGAACCAGTTTGAAATCGACGAATCATGTTTACCAAAGCCCTCACCTCCGTCATGAGCGTCCACGTTTTGGGAGCGGATGCTCGTGCTGCGAAGTGAGACGCCAAAGACGTCTCCTGCACTGCGCCGAAGTCCATCTGCACCCTGCACGCAACGGCAGGGGACTCCGCGCCTGCGTTTTGGACCAGGTCTCCGCGAAAGCGTTTTCTGTAACCTTAGGAGATGGAAAAAGGCACTCTTTTCGCTTCGCCGCTTTCCAGCCTTGCCCGGGATGAAGCCCTGGTATCCAGGAATTGCTCGAGCAGCAGCTCCATGGCTTCGGAGCTTCCTGGCATGAGACACACAGAGAGAGAAGCCTTTCAGGCAGCCTCGAAGTCATCTGTCCAAGGAAGCCGGGACTTCCCCGCGCCGCCGAGGCCGTCGTAGGCAAGAGACCTGACGAGAGTTGGCCTTCCCAAGCGCTTGAAATGGGGATGGAACGAGTTCGAGTGGGAGCATCGACCGTCACTATCAGACACTGTTGGAGGCAGGACTGCCATTGACTGACAACAAATTCCTCGACGAGCCAGAAACCCATCTCTCACAGTTCGTTATCCCGCAATCAGGCCGAGGTGACGTCAATCCCATGCCAGAATGGTAGTGATATTTCTCCTGCGCAGTGGTCTTACCGCGTCTGGAGTTGCAGCACAACCATTTTCAAAACCCTGCTTCGGGTCCTCGTTGGACTCTGGGACTCGCGAATGAAGCGTGTCGCCAGCTGGTGGGTAGCTGATGCCACGCTTGTCATACCTACGCATTGGACCATAAATCACCTACACAATCCGGGCCGAGCTGCAGGTGGAGTCTGTGGAGTCGGGGGCACTCTGGAGCCCTTGTCGGTGGAACTATGGTCCTCGGCTAAGCGGCTAAGCGGTCACAGAAAGGCGTGAGCGCGAGGCTCCTGGTCCGCCGGTCTTGCTCTTCGCGCTGCAAGCGCATCGCCTGTCCCGGCTCTGGCTCTGGCACTGCACTGGGCCAGCGGGGGCGCGGGGCGAGGCCGGCCTGAATGTCGCAAGTCTTCTGGCTGCGCACGCCTTGCGCAACTCTCAGGGAACCTCATGCCAGGACGTAGCCATGCTGTCGAAGTCTCCAGGCAAACCAAGGATAGGACGACCAAAAGTTGTAGCGATGGCCTCGCCCTGTGTGCACACGTCCCACCAACTTGCCAAGCACACATGCTGACAGGAGCACATGCACCTCCAAACGAACACTTGGAACATGACCCGTATAGCCAGGCCTCGACACGCAAGTACGATTCTGCCATTGTCTGCCCATCGATGGCGGGCATTATCACTTTCGGGGTTTGCTCTGCTAGACCCTATGTTTCGAGCTTTGCACAGGGTCTCGCTTGCATAGAGGGGCTTCCGCTAGTCGGGAAACCATTCTTCTCTCCAGTCCTCCAAGCCGGAAGCGGCCCTTCCTCGTTGCACTTGGGTGGACTTTCCAGTTCGGCAGAAACCCTAAGCCCGGCACCAGAACCCTCTTGAAAGCCCAAACGGGCAACCACGGCAAGGCATCGCAGCTGGAAGGCATCTGAGCTTGATGCAAAGCCGCACCGATGTGGTTGCCAATGTTGCTCCTGCAAGCAAGCGTGCCAGGCCTTGCAATCTTGGCCGCCTTCTGTGAAGCAAAAACATCTGCGACTTGGCAGCGTTCCTTCTCGTGTTGAGCAGCTTCGTATCACTCCATGAGCGCATCATGGTAGCGTTTAAGCAGGCTGTAGGGATTGATCCGTGCTGCCGAATTCCCTGATGACAGCTTGCAAGCTGAAGTGGTCTGAAGAAAAGTGGGCGTGACGTCTACGGGAAACATGAAAGAACAAGCTGCACAGGCTGTAAGAATTCACAGAAGGCCAACATGAGCTCTGCTATGATATGGGACACGCCAGACTCCGCAAAAAGCTGTGGGCAGGTCATCTGTCAGCTCCTCCAGAAGGAAACCATGTCGCACACACGTCGCAACACATCTCAACACTGTCGTGATGAGCTTGATGTCCTTGGCTGCGAGCTCCACCTCCTCGACAACACCTACGGACTCCTGGCCATGCCCACAGAAATCTGCCTTCGACCCCCAAAAAAAAGGCATCTCCTCCACGTACTTGGAGGCCGCCTCGAGCTTGGCCTGCACGGACTCGGCTCCGACCCCGACGGCAAGAACGGGTGCGGTTGTCGAAATCGCATTTTTGCATCGCGCGACTCGTGCGGGTCTTGCACATCTCAGGTGAAGTCGGCAGTCATCGTCCTCCAATGGAACCCTAGACACACGGTCGCAAGCACACCGTGTATGCAGAAGCATGTGTCCTGTGCACTACACCGGTAGCAATCCCCACTCCCCGCTGTCATTTTGCCGTTGCTGTGCTGCGGCTCTGGCACACACTTCAACAGAAACTCCCAGCAACTCTTCCGTGCAAAGCTGCGAGGACCACAGATTTCTGGCCCATGCATGCATGCTGAGTTTGCATCGGTAGTTTACATGGGCCATCACTACCAGCTTTGTGCGCCTTGGCTCATGTCACCGTGACATACTAAGAGCCTTCCTCGTGTGCAGAAGACTCTGAGCTACTAGCGGGGCTTCACTTCTTCGGTGCCACTTCTTAGACAAGGACAAAAAAGGTATCCTTCGTATATGGGCTCCCAGACAACCTGACCTGAGGAGCAGACCGGCCATAGACACTTCTCCGGCCAAAGCACCAGCCCGCAACTCTTCCATTACAGATTCCTGCGGGCAGATCTAGAAAGCACCAATCGCATCTCTTGTGATTGAATCTTCGGGTGCCCCAGTCAATCTTCTTCCCCCTCTGTGCCTTCTGAGGAGCTTGCTCCTCTGACTGGAAGGGCCACCACCACCACCACCAGCTAACCTCGACCTCTCCCTTGCCATCGACCTGAACTTTATCAGTGTGCACACGCAGCGAATTCAAACTTGCATCCAGCCTGCCTTACGCGAGATCTTTGACCTTGTTTCTGGAACAACTCTCTGCAAGTACTGCCTGCTGGATGGCTGCTGTTTCCAGGGCGCTTGCCGTTCCATTAGCAACGTCTGCTTCAGTGGTGGAGCCGGTGCGAAGGTCGGATCTTCTGTGGACTCTTTTCGGAAGGGAGCCGGCGCAAAAATGGACGCATCCAAACCCTTGATCTGTGCAAGCGTCGCTGGAGCGTGCTGTGGAGCTTTGCCGAAAAAAGATTCCCAGATCTGGCCTCACAGTGTCTGTCTGATGCAGCTTGTGCGACAGCAAAAGGGGCTTAAATGCACACTCGAAGAAAACTGAGATGGGAAAACTTCTGCTTGTTAGGCCCTGCATGCGACACACTGACAATACTTCTTAAAACACAAACGAAAGACACAACCATTCAATGCTCCCTCTATTCTGTCTATGCCATGGTAGTGTAATCTCTTCCCCCTATTATTAAAG